TGTAATGTGCTCTATGATTTATTATTGAAGTATGCAAGAAACACACTCCCTCATGGAGATTGAGGAAGCAATGTTGTCCTTCTGAAAGGCTCTGAGATTTCCTCTTCAGATTACACAGGCTTCTTTAGAGCTGCCAAGAGTCAATGCGTATAGGATAATAGGCTTTAGCTCAGGAGAAACTGTGAGTGGGAATTCAATTAATCTAATGGGCCACAAAAGATAAGAAATTACCGCTTAAAACATTCCCTGCACTTAGGGTGCTAAGGGTTCCTCATGAACAAGAAGACATCTTCAGGCTGAGGATTGGCTAAGTAATACCACCTATGACTGACTGAAAGGAGGAGCCCAAGCTGTGAGGGTGTCACATGTCTTACCTGTTTCTCACAGACTGATTCCTGCCTGAAGAGTGTTTCTGCCCAAAGCCTCAGCAATACGGCTCCACCAATATTCTTTCCCGAATATCTGCATCATCTGAATAAATCAGTGTGCCGATTTATCAAGCATCTCCTAATGAATATCAACTGTGGGAGAATAGTGAGGTGGCCCTACAAATAGAGCCCTTGAGAAGGTATAGTGCTCTACATAGAAGAAGAAAGTATAATGAAGTTTCCCGGAAGAGTCACCTGGCAGGGACGGGCATGAAGGGAAATGTAAGCAGGCAGGTTCACAGGACCTTACTAACATACGGATTGGCCTGTTAGACAAGTTAACTTCAAATCCTTTACCTGTCAAAGGTAACATAATAATACCACTTCAGAGTATTATTGCGAGGGTAAGAAATGAAAAAATCCATAAAATATGCTTAGTATGATACCTGGTACATATTATGCATGATACAAATGCAGAATATAAATAGTACATACACATTTCTTCACTTTCCTACCAAACCAGGCACTTCAGTGGCACCAGGAAGGTCTGAAGTATAGCATCAGAGTGGCCAACAGTGAGTTTGAACCTTCCCAGGAGCAGATTGGGGAGGGATAGAGACTCTAAACAGAGTATTTTTTGGCAATGGAGATTATAATTTGACAGAAAGGAGGGCTAGAAAGGCAGAGGTGGATTTGGACAGAGCTTTAGAGGTTGATATCTGAGCAGGGAAATTTTTAGAAATATGAACTAGGGCAAATAGACTTCAAAAATCAGGAAAGATAATCAACAAACTTGAGATTTTCAAGGGGGAGACACTCTTTGCTGACAATAAATTATTTTTATTTGACCCCTTGTTGCCCAAAAGTCAAAATTTAAGAATTTGTTGTTCACCTTCACCTGCCTCATTTATTTAGCAAATTCTATTATTCTACGAGGTACCATACTCCGTGCTCATTGCAGATTATAAAAAATGAAATTGATATCTCCCCAAGGGACTCATTGCACCATGAGGCACAAGCAAATAAGCAGTACAACCAAAGGAATGAGATCGAACCCATGGCTGCTGGGTGGAGGTCAGTGCAGCTGCCTGAGGGAGGAAGCACAACCTTTCAGAGGAAGTCTGGAAATAAACATTCCGTGGCAATGACAACATAAGTATTATCAGTCATGATCATAAAATAACAATAATGGCAAGAGTTAACATTGCCCAATGCTTATTTTATGGCAGCTGCCATGTGAGGCACTTTACACACATCATTTCCTATCTTTGCATAGAATGGTGGCCATATATAGTAGTATGTTTCACTGACTTGTGTTTGCACTATCTATTCCGGTTCTAAATGCCTTTGCCACACAACTGGTAAATTGCAGTACCTGCCAGATCATTGATCCTCCCACTCTCTTTCCCTTAATAATATGGTAGAGAATTTGAAGTGACTGTATTTAGTCTCAGGCTGAAGTTTTGATATAAGTGGATTTGCGATCCTTATTCCAGAGTCCCTGACAGAAATAGAACCCATTGCTTATGTACAGCCTGAGCGGGGAGGATCTAAATAGCCAGGGTTTTGCTGGTTTATCACAGCATCCTGTCCTTCTAAGTGCAAAAACCAAAGCCCACAAAATGCAACTTAAAAGTGTTGCCAAGATTTCCAGGGGAAAAGGTATAACCCTACTGCCAAAGTAGTGGCTGCCTAACAACAATGAAAATAATAACAATAAAAATATCCAATATTTACAAACCACTTATGGTTTCCATGTACTAGCTTATTTAAACCATACATGTATACATATATGTTGCCATTTACAGACAGAGAAACAGAGGTCCAGACATATGTCCAGAAAGTTGCGTATAAGCTGGGTGTAGAAAAGGAAGCTTAGATTGTAGTTAGTTCTAGACTTAGGACCTTGTTTTTGGACAAGTCCATAGAGAGGAGCTGCACCTCAAAACACAGCAGATTACTAATTTTGCAGGATCAAAATTAAAGTCTTTTGCAAGAATCTCCCCAACGTGTCCCTGACTTCAATTTAACACATCCTGACTCAAGTATTCCTCCACAACCAACAGGTCACAGCTATTTTCATACCCTCAGTGCCTTTGTGTAGTGACTGTCTTGGCCCCCACTGCCTTCTCTCTTCTGCATCACTTGTTTGCCCCAAATTTAGCACCTGTCTCAAGGAGTCACCTGCCCCCAGAAAGCTTGTCCTGATTTCTTAAAGGCCACTCCACTGAATCTCCAATGCTTGACCACTTCTTTTATAGATTTCTGCCTAAAACTGTAGGCTCCCAAAGGCTGCAGCTAGTTATTTTATAACCCCAGAACTTACAAGGCCCTATAGGACTATTTTACTGATCTGTTGAAAATAAATAATGAATCTGATCCCTGCAGATCATCACCTGAGGTTTGCGATGGCCTCACTAATTTTTGTTACTGTTGGAGTTGAGATTCTCTGCTTATGCTCTTTATTTGCTTCTCTTTTCCTGATCAGCACTTTAGGCTTTAGGAACCTGGCTTTGACAGTAATTAAAATTGATGACAGCATGACACTTCCATTTGCTAAGACAGCACAGTTTTGTTCAGTGTGCTTTACTTTTGTAACCAGCATCCTCTTAGCACTGGCATAAATCTGTGGCCTTTCCACAAGGATGCCATTTATTCCTTTTATGTCTTGATTCATCACATATTGTAGAGCGTGTCAGCTGAGTAAGGGTTTTTGCTTCATGAAACTGTCACCAAATGTGCCATAAAGGGGAAAGCACCAGATGTCTATTTGCAAGGAAAACAAAATCCTAGATTGTGAAGAGTCAGGGAGTCCAGGGCTTCCCAAGAATTTCCAAGCTTGATGTTTGGCTCAGCACACAGCACTCTTCTTGGGGTCTTAGAACTGACCCTCACATTCCATTTCAGTCATTGTTCTGGAAAAACTTGTCCACTTTACTGCAGATCTGAGGCCTGGACACTGCTGTTAGTTTTCTCAGATTCAAGCCAAAATTTTAAACAAGCTTATTGGATAATTTTAACCAAAATAACACATATATTCGTGTTACCATGTTTAACTTATTTTTAAACGATTTTATCAAATTATGACTGACATACAACAGGCTGTATATGTTTAATGTATACAAATCATAAGTTTGAAAATAAGCATACATTCCTGGAATCACCACTTCAATCTATGCTATAAGCCTTGCCATCACCTCCAAAAGTGTCCTTCCACTCTTTTTATTATTATTTCTATGAATTTAATTTTTTTCCTTTAAGTTATCAGAACTTTCTCAGAGCATACTTGTCAGTAAAACAAGTCATTTCACAGTTAGAAGTTATATAAACTTATTAAAACTTTATAAAAGTAATATTCCAATGTTCTGCTTGGAGCAGAGGAAAATGAAACAAAATGTTCTTTGAGTTGCAGCCAGGAATTAGTGATAGTGACAGGGATTATTCAACCTATTAGTGGTAATAATAAAGACTTAGAGAGCATCCAGGCAACAAGTAGAGTTGAAGGCATTGTTACAAATGCAACTTTGCCTTCTAGTCAACCTAAAACTGATATGTAATACATTATTTACTCTAGGAAAATACGTATTGTTTGCTATTTTTGGTATATAGTCCTGGGATTGAACCCAGAGCCTTTCCACTAAGCTACATCCCCAGTCCCTTTATTTATTTATTTATTTAATATTTATTTATTTGTTTGTTTGTTTATTTATTTTAAACAGGACCTTGCTAAGTCCATACATTGCCTAGGCTGAGCATGGACTTGTGATCAAGATTTAGTTTTGAACCTGTGTATCCTCATCTTGAGAGAGGAAGCCACCAGCCACCAATCAACTCACTAGCATATAAAACTACACTCATCACTCAAGAGTTTCCAAGGATTTAGGAGCTTGGATGGCTACACTAGGAAGAAGACCAAATATATATTTCACAAGTAGTAGCTTCATTGCCCTTGAGGAAAAGCTCCGTGTTTGTTGTGGGCCTGGCCACAAGTGCTGCTCTAAATAAAACCCAGAGGGAACATGGTCTGATTGGGGAGTCTAGAGAAACAACATTCTCCACAAAGCCCAGACAACAGGCACACACTTTTGTAGCTGAGATACTTGCGAAGCAACCCAGGTAGAATGGCAACTACATTGGTTGTTTTCCACTTTTGTCTGTCTTTAATGCAACTTGCTACTAGTGCCAATCAAATTGCAGCTGGTTTTATAATAGATAACTCCTTGCCCCATCTTCCATCACAAAATTCTCTGTCTTTCTTGTCCAACATTTGTTTTCCCCTCATTCTTCCCTATTCCCAGGATTGTTCACAGATTTATTTCTATTATTCCTGAAAATAAGGTGGGTTTTCTTTTGTAATAATCAAGTTTGAACTTAAACTATAAAGGAAGGCTTTTTGTTCATTATTCCCTACTGAATCTAGGCACAAGATCAGAGATAATGAAGACCAAAAGGTTTCCATTTGCTCAGATTTTTTTAGTTCTTTTTAGTAGATAGGTGCAACTTTAATTTTTAAAATGAGAGTATTGCAAGAAAGCAAGTCAAATTTTATCATCTTAAAATGATCCTGTAACAGAATCACATCAGATTATTTATTTTATAGAGATGACCATTGTTTTCTTCTCCCTATTCCAGCCACAACAGCTACTTCTGACAGTGCACCCCCAAGTCTGCAAAGAGTTAATGCAAGCCTGGAAACAAGTAAGAATTTCAGTTATATTGCAGTCTTCAGTGTTATTTTCCATGCTCTAATGTACTATCTTTTCTTGTTTCCTTTGAGATTGATAACCGAGTCACTAAATTAAAATTTTAAAGATAAAATAATTTGGGGGGATTTATTTTCAATTTTTTTACAAGGCTTTATCTATCTATTTTGCTTATGGTTGGAGATGAAGTAAGACCAAATTAATGGAGGAAAAAATAGGAAATGATTTATTATTATAGATCAACATTTGTTGAATTTAGGAAATTATCTCTTTTGAAAACATTTTAACGTCATTTCTATTATTATTTTGAGGTATTTATCTAATGATTATATTGACAGAGAGCTAAACTTACCCTTCCAGATTGTTGTATATTTCAAAATTCTGCTTCCTATAGCTGTCTCTTCTCTTTGGAATGACATCACCCCTCCACTTTTTGTCTTTCAACAATCTCCACATCATCCATAAGTCTAAACTCAAACATTGGATCTTGGGGAAGCTTCCCCAAATCCTTGAGAACCAAACAGATTTTTGTCTTCTCTGCTTCCATGGAATTTTGTCTGCAGTTCTCCCATTTTTGTGTGTATGTCGGCAATATGCACTGAACTCACTCAATTGGGTGGGCTGCGTAAGTGAATTCATTATATTCAACTTCAAGTCAAAACCCATGTTTGTGCTCTTTCTAAATCCCTTACATCACCTAAAAATCACTGATCTCAGAGTAGGTACTTCTTTAATTAAATTTTAAGGTACATTTTTTTAATCAGTTGAACTATATGTTAGAGTCCTTATTATGTAGTAAAGAAAGGGAAGACAGTGAGTGTGTCAATTGAGCTTAAGATACTGCTGTTTTGTTGGTAATTCTAGTGTCATAAAACCATAATTTGGATTTTATGACTAAATTGAAGAGTACATTTCTAATGTAAGATTTAAACATCATTTCCTTGGAGGTGACCCAAATTGAGGGTTGATGCTTTTTTAATGAATGTCATCCATTTGTTATTTGTGCCAGACCACAAACCCTGTACAATCCTCCTGACTTAGAAGAATCTGACATGTTAATCTGCTCCTAAGTAATGTGATGGATTGTAAAAACAAAAAACAAAAAAACGGGTAATTGTTTGATTATCTTTGGATTAAGCTAGATAGTATATTCCAAAGCTTCATTCAATAAATAAAATGACCTTTAATTTTTACTTACTGTAAAGAAATGAGGAGGAACCAGTTAAGGATGTTTTTCTAATGGTGTACAAGTTACATAGGAATTATCCTCCACATAAGATATCACCCTCTGCTTTTCCTTCAAATGGTACTGTATTTCTCCCAAAATAAGACCTACCTAGAAAACAAGATCCAGCATAATTTTAGAAGAGACATTATGCTAGAACTTGTTTTCCGGATAGGTCTTATTTTCAGGGAAAGAGGGTATTATGCTTTCTCCAGAGTCTGAGGAGCTTAACCATCTTGTTCTGTTGAAATGCAGCATCCATATAAGGCAGATGTGTTGAACAGCTTCCTACCAGTCATTTGGCATGTTGTGATTTTCTGTCTTTGTGATAAGTAAGAAGACTAGATAATTGTCATTCACATAATGGTGACTCACATAGACATGACCTCCTTACACAAGGAAAGATCTTATCTTTCTTTCAGCTTTTTCTTTGCATACATCACCTGCCCTCTGTCCCAGGAATGATCAGATGAATTAAGTCCTGCTGTGGGATGGGAAGGGCACACCTGGCACAGGGCATGTGCTTGACATGAGCAACTTTTATCATAGAAGCATCTCATTCAGATGTGACAGACCCAGATGCTCGTACCACCTCCCTGTGTCACTGTGTACATTGTTACTGTATCTCAAATCCAATTCTCTGCTCTGCACCCAACATTAGGGTCTCCATCCTGAGAGACTAAAATACTGTTCTGACATCAAAGGCCTCATGTTCTCCCTAGGGAGTTAATTTTACATAAAAATCTAGAGTTCAATGTGAAATAGGCTGAGAATTCTCTATTATTATTTATACCTTTCCTACATGTACTTTCTTTAAAATTTCAGATTCAAAACAAATCCTTATAAAATAAAAATAAAATAAAATCTCTTTTCAGAGATTTGATGAACATTTGGGCCAAATATATAATATTTTATTAAAGGCAAAATGTTCAGATGATTGCATATCTCTCTGAGGGTTTTCTTCCTCTCATTTTAAAAAGGTCATTACTTTTTCTGAATTTTTTATATATCAGGAAAAAAAAACAAATTTTGTAATCAGTGGCATTTCTACCTTCAAATGAAGTGAATATCCATCCAACTGGAGCAAAATACTAAAATTTCATTGACTGCCCCCTAAAGCATGAGTTGATCTAAGAATTTAAAAAAACAAGCACTATGTATATAAACATTAATGATTGAGATCAGAATTAAGTTTTGAAAGAACTCCAGAAAATTTTCAAATAGATGGACACTCATGAAATAGGAAGAAAAGGTCCAAAGGGGAAGGGGAAGGGAAACTGGAAAGGATACAGGAAAGGAAAGAAGGAAAAGGCAAAAATATGAGAAAAGGGAAAAACAGAAACAAAGTCTTTGTAAATAGAGAGGGGTGAAGGGATTGAAGGGAGGGCAGGGGAATGGGGAAAAAAATAAGAACCAAGATACATCATGCAAAGGTACAAATTCCCGATGATGAATGTCATCATATTGTATATCTCAAATGTACCAATAAACTTAATGAATAAAAAAGTAGATGGACATTGAAAATGAATTCCTTAAAATTTTTAGAAGTTCATGAATAATTTCCCTCACAATTGTGAATTAGTTTCAACTTTCACATTTTATAAACACTTTTACAAGACAAAACTTTAATAAAGTAAATACCATCTTCCTCGTTCAGGTCCTTATGTGTTCTTTTTTTTTTTTTTTTTTAATCCTTATGTGTTCTTAACTGGACTCTCAACTTCCTAATTTTTCTTTCTACTTCCAATTTTTCTCTTTTCCAAGCCACCCTACTCTGCTTCCAGATTAATTCCTGCCTACCTCTAATTCAATGATTCTTCTGTATAATCACTTTCAATGGCTTTGCACTGTTTTCTAAATTACAAATAAATTCATCTCCCAGGCACTCAAGACATTCTACAACATGGGCTTTGTCGCTTTCCTATCTCCTTTCTATGCAAAGTACCCCATATTTATGTTTCCTGTCTTTTTACATTATTATATCTTATTAGCCATTTGTTCCCTACACTTTCTTCCCAGTTGGAGACAATCTTCTGTGGATTTTGTCCTTTAAGGCATGTTCACAAATCACTAACCATAGAATTATCCCAGTTCCCCCAAGAGGATACATGCTTCCTCTCTGGAATCTCTGTAGCCCTTTCTCAATCTGGGGGAAAGATATTCTAGCACAGTGGTTTAAGAACTCAGTCACTGACAAACAATTCCTTTCACAATAGCATCCAAAAAACTGAAATACCTAGGAATCAACCTAACAAAAGAAATCAAAGACCTCTTCTCTGAAAACTAT